AGCTGGGGAGAGAAGAGGTGTATTCATACATTTTCCAAGGGTAATTACGCGTAAGTGAAACCAACAGGAATCTGAACTCGACTCTCCGATTAACAATTCCGAGAGATCATACCTAGCCATATCAAATTCTATGGGTTATTTTATGCTGAAATCTAAATATTTTGTACTTAATTTAATTCTATTATTTGGAGGTAATAAATGGTTTAGTGATACAAGTCTTACTAATTAACCCATAGCTGGGGAGAGAGAAGAGGTGTATTCATACATTTTCCAAGGGTAATTACGCGTAAGTGAAACCAACAGGAATCTGAACTCGACTCTCCGATTAACAATTCCGAGAGATCATACCTAGCCATATCAAATTCTATGGGTTATTTTATGCTGAAATCTAAATATTTTGTACTTAATTTAATTCTATTATTTGGAGGTAATAAATGGTTTAGTGATACAAGTCTTACTAATTAACCCATAGCTGGGGAGAGAAGAGGTGTATTCATACATTTTCCAAGGGTAATTACGCGTAAGTGAAACCAACAGGAATCTGAACTCGACTCTCCGATTAACAATTCCGAGAGATCATACATTACACCAGCCACATATCTGAGCTTACAGCACCTGCTATTCCCAAGTAAACACCCATCTAAGTACTGACCAGGTTCGACGTTGCCTAATTTTGGTGATCGTACGGGAACTGTTTCAAAGTGACGAAGCAAGTTTTCGAGCTTAATTTGACCTGAAATATCTTGTCAGCTTCAAACCCTATCAATATTATTATTGTTAATGGTAGAAATCGCGTCATTACATTTTTTACTGACCAATTTAAAAAAAACAAAAACAAAAAACAAACAAAAAAAACAACACAAACATATTATACGTGGTTAAAGCCCTTCGTAAGGTATGGGCTGTACATGTGAGAAGAAATTTTTGTATTTCTTTAAGGCATGGGCTTCCAAGAATCCCTTCAATTAATCTACTGGAATCTTTTCCAACCAATCCGATAGTTCCAACTACAACAGATTGTTGATGTTCCCATGTGCCACATTTTTAGATTTCGATATCGAGGTCCTTTATTATTATTATTATTATTATTCACTTTCATTTCTGGCGTATACTTATTTCTTTCCGGGTCCCAACCAGAGACCTAACGTCAGAAATGCCATTTTCCACTGGCCGATTTGTGTGGGATTCTTCTTCTTCTTTCTTCTTCTTCTTCTTCTTCTTCTTCTTCTTCTTCTTAATATTATTATTATTAGTAGTAGTAGTATTAGTAGTAGTATTATTAGTAGTAGTATTATCATCATTGTTGTTGTTGTTGTTGTTTATGAAGGTGATGACATGTTTGATCCGTTTGCTCTTTCTATTAATTTTGTTGTTATTATTTAACTCAGTAGACAGAAGATTTTGTATGATGGCTATCGTACCAGAGGATGGTGATGAAGCTGAGTACGTTTCGCTTTCCTTATACATCACAATACTCTCATCAGCATCATCGTTTTGTTATCCTTTCTTCTTCTTCTTCTTCTTCTTCTTCTTCTGCTTCTTCTTCTTCTTCTTCTTCTTAGGGTCGTTTTCTTATTGGAATTGTTATTAATTTATATCATATTTTCTTCCTTTTCGCTAAAGTAGGTAGAATCAATAGCTGGATGTCTGAGTCCGTGCTCAAGTCCGTGATATCATAAAAAGCGCGCGAATCTGAAAGCTAATCGATCACTTTGCCGCCATTTTGTTTTTGTGTTGTTCTCTATGTATTTTTTTTTTTTTTTTTTTTTGCTATTTCTTCCTTTACCTCGGTCTCTCCTCCCACGAGCTTTTCCAGATTTTCCAATTCCCTCGTCTCTTTCTTCCAATTCTCTTAATTCCATTTCACCCTGTACGAACTTGATTTATACATATCGTGAATAATTCTGTTTGTATTTAAAACTATATATATGTATGCACACAAAAAACAAACTTATATATATATATATATATATATATATATATATGTGTGTGTGTGTGTGTGTGTGTGTGTGTTTACATATATATAAGTGTCTATGTGTGTGCGCGGGCGCGCATATATGAGGGTGTGAGCGTGTAATGATTATCTTTGTGCCGCCGCTTGTAATGAGATGTCTTCAATAAAGATGCATAGCCTAATGCTTATAACTTCGGAGTTTCGTTGTGGATAATCAAGGTTCTTTTACCAACGCATCAAACAAGTACAACAAATTAAGCATCTGGGAAATGGTTAAACAGAGAATGTAAATTGCGACTCTCAACACCGAAGGCGCATTGTCTTTCAAAAGCTAAGCACATTAATAAGAAACGGCATATTTTTGTTAGAAACCAAGAAAAGAGTACTGAACTCCTATTGAAATTCAGTCCTCCTGCATACCAGATGAAGATAATACATAAAGTTACAAAATCTTGGTTCTCCAGAAGGATGTTTGGAAAACCGTGGACCGAACATATGAGCAACGACGGAGTTTTAGAGAAAATGAAAATAAAATGGGCATTTTTGGTTGACATCAGAAAAAGACAATTGAAATTTCTAAGGTACATAATGTCGAAAGGGGGCTTAGAAAACTTGATACTCAGAGGGCATACTGAAGGCGAGAGGGACAGAAGAAAGCAATGCATAATGTACGTAGCGAGCTAGAGTAATTGGATGACAGAAAAGAGTTTAGGAGAAATAACAAAAAATATGAACAGCTACAAATGACAGAACATTGTGGAAATACATGATTGCAATCTTCCTGAAGAAAAAGAAGAAGAAAAGAAGAAGGAGAAGAAGAAAAAAGGAAGAAGGGGGAGGAGAAGAAGAAGAATAAGAAGAAGAAGAAGAAGAAGAAAGGAAGAAGTAAAAGAAGAAAGGAAGAAGGAGAAGAAGAAGAAAGGAAGAAGGAGGAGAGGAAGAAAGGAAGAAGGAGAAGAAGAAGAAAGGAAGAAGAAGAAGAAGAAGAAAGAAAGGAGGAGAAGAAGAAGAAAGGAAGAAGAAGAAGAAGAAGAAGAAAGGAAAGAAGGAGGAGAAGAAGAAGAAGAAGAAGAAAAGGAAGAAGGAGAAGAAGAAAAAAGGAAGAAGAAGAAGAAGGAAAAGAAGAAGAAGAAGACGAAGAAGAAGAAAGGAAGAAGAAGAACAAGAAGAAGAAGAAGAAGAAAGGAATAAGGAGGAGAGGAAGAAGAAGAGGGAAGAAGTAGAAAAAAAGAAAGAAAGAAAGATATCCTTCGTAATCATCTTTAAAATAAGAATCCAAACTAACAGTCAGTGCCAGTAGTGATACACGCTTAGGAGATCATGTATCTTTCGATACATGACTGACGACGCAGATTTTTTTCTCCTGAAACAAGTTGCCACTTCTTTTTGTGGTAGGCGAGTTGTCGTGCAAGGCTATAGAACCCGGTCTGTGTTGCTACTCACATATACCTGGGAGGAGAAGAAGAGGATTCATACCTTTCCCAAGGGTATTTGCACGTAAGAAGAATGTAATGGATTCGACAGGAATTCGAACTCATCTCTCCGATTCTTCAGTCCCAGCCGCTATACATTACTCCACCTTTCAAACATAACAGGGTTGTCATAATCCGTTCTTCACTTTCCTATTTTGATAGAATCCAAAAGGTTGTACATAAACCATTTAACACTAACAAAACGCTATTGCGATTTCTATGGAAAATGTTCAGATGAGGTATATTACTTGGTTCTACCAGTTCTAATCTTCACAGCTAGAAGACATATTGCAGCGAACCAGCTTCATTACATTCGTATTCCGATAATGAAAAAAGTATGTTTGGTTCAAACAGCTTCTTCCCACGAATTGCTTCATTGTCGAATCGACCCCCAAAAAGATGCTTCTCTGACCCCTTTAAACTTAACCTGTTCAAATCTAGGTTGAACCGAGAGCTTAACAACATATTCACATATACTAGACCTCTTATCTTTTATTATTACCCCTCAAGTAAAAAAATCTTCTTCAGTAAATCTCCACCTGGAGTGAACATTTGTGAACATTAGTAAAAAAAAAAATAAATTCTATCGGTGACATAATACATCTGTGTTACGAAATAAATAATGTTCTCTGCTTAATAAAGCCTTTCCTCTCCTCATAACTCCCTTTAATAACCAAAGAGCAGATAAATTGTCCATATAACAAAACATCAGATAAGTTCTCCCTTCATTCATATATATATATATATATATATATATATATATATATGTGTGTGTGTGTGTGTGCAAATATATGGATATAAGCAAATATATGGATATAAATACGACAGTATGAAAAAAATATATGTTCAAAAAACATTTTCAGGAATATTCATAAATTATAACATTATCTTTTATGTTGTATTGATAATGTTATAATTTATGAATATGTCCTGAAGATGGTTTATTAAACCGAAACGTCCGACGTTCACATATTAACATTAAAACAGTCATAATTGTAAATAAGGATTTTGTTTGTTTTTTCCGTATATTTTTCTTCATATATATATATATATATATATATATATATATATATATATAACAAAACTTTTGATACGATCTCCCTTCCTTCATATATAACAAAAGAATTTGATGTTAATATATAACGGTAAAGGTTGAAATAGAGAAATGAGAGGAGGAGAAAATAGTATGAAAAACATCGAGGAAGAAGGAGAGTTTGAACAAGAAATAGACGAAGATGTGAGCAATGGAGAGAAAAGGTGATAGGTAGAGAACGATTTAAATATATAAATGTTTGAAGGGGACGCAAAAAAAAGAAAGAAAGAAAGAAAGACTGATATAGAACAGACAGGTAAGATTAAGAGAGAGAGAGAGAGAGAGAGAGAGTGATATGAAAATAGAGAAATGGGAAGAGACAAAGCAATAAATTATAAACAGAAAAAGAGACAGTAATATAGAAAAAGAGAAAGGCGAGAATAAATAGCAAGAGAGAGAGAGAGAGAAAGAGAAAAGAAGAAAAATAAAAACAGAGCAATGGGAGGAGGAAAAACAATAAGAAATAAACAAAGAAAAATTGTTAATAGAGAAATAGGGAGAGAGAGAGAGATTCAAATAAATGGAAATAAAAAAAGAGAAAAATAGGGTAAATGAAGGTGGAGAAGTTATAAAATATAAACAGAGAAAGAGATATTAGTAGAGAAAAAGAGAGAGTTGAGAATAAAAGGAGAGAGAGAGAGAGTGAGAAAGAAAGATGGGAAACGTGAAATCGGCGGAGGAGAAGCAATAAAATATAAGCCAAGAGAAATATTAATAGAGAAATAGAGAGGGATTCGATCAAATGGTGAGAGAAATTTTTAAGTAGAGAAAAAGGGGAGGAGAAACAAGAATGAAAAGAGAGATTGTGAGAAGGGAGAAGCAGACAGATTCTGTAGTCATGAAATCGGCTCCCAGCTTTGGTCGTCATAGCGATGAGGAAGACGATCAAGTTAAATATTGAACCAGTTTTCAAATAGAAGATAGAGATAGGGACATGGAGAGAAAGTGAAAGAGAAGGGGCGGGAAAGTGAAGAAAAAAAACACAGAGAGATTGAAAGACTAAGAGATTGGGGAAAAGGGGTTTAATCATGTTAAATGATTTCGTCTTTTTTGGTTGCCATAACACAGAGAATGTCCAGTGGGAGTTCTGTTGCCTAAGGTAACGATAATAAGAAAAAGAGGAAATGAAAGAAGGAAATAAATCCGATAGAGGAAGAAAGACTGAGTGTTGGGTAGACAGAGATTTGGTGAACACGGAGACGTTGTGACTTTACCGAGACTTTTGCTGATATTACCACTTACTCTAAGCCACAAATATCTGCATGTCGATAACATCGGGCGTCCGCCATTCAGATCCATTAGTCGATTTTCGTCTCGTTTCTTATTCGGAGTTTTCCGTCTTAGGCGAGACGTCGATCTTGTAATATTTTTTTCTAGTGTCTTTTCTGGCCATGGTTGTATTTTCTTTATTGACATGGTCAAAAGAGATTTTCTTTTTTACAATAAGATTCACTCTGTACAAGGCCCGGAGGCCACTCAAGGTAGAGGGTTACGTTAAGGGGTAGTATATGTGGATATGAAGAGAATATAACCGTTAACTATAAACTTGAACAGGTTAAGATTATAGTGATCAGGGAGACATCATCTTCTGAGTCTGTTCCTCTTGTCACCTAGAAAGATACAAATATTTAAGCAAATCCTCTCTTCATAATAAACAGTATTAAACATCATTTACCGGCCTGAATGTCCGAGAAATTTTCATAGAAAATATTCGTCCTCCGAAAGGATTCGAACCTGTATCCTATACGGAACCGTCATTTAGCTTGATGTGCCTTTAACCAACTTGGCCACAAGGGCGTGTTCGGTTAGCAAGGTCGAATTTACTGTATTTGAACTTCAATCTTCTATGAATCTCTCACGTACATTCATATCTGCTCCTATGAATATCGTAATAGCAATGTTTTACCTACTTCACTCCGTTTTACTTATTCCTCATTGAGTAACACTTTCTAGGTTACACATTATGAAATGGACAAAGGTTTGTGATATATGAATGAAGAGAGATCGTATCAAACGTTTTGTTACACAGGAATGAAGGGAGATCGTATGAAAAGGTTTGTGATATAAAAATGAAGGGAGATCGTACCAAAAGTTTTGTTATAGGGACAATTTATCTGCTCTTTGATTATTAAAGGGATTATTTATGAGGTGAGAAAAACTTTATTAAGTAGAGAACTTAATCTGTTTCATAACAAAAGATTTATGTCACTGATAACATTTTTTTATAAGGATATATGTTTTACTAAATTTCAAAAGGGTTCACTCAAGTTGAAAATTTACGGAAGAAGTTTCTAGTTTGAGAGGCAAAAATAAGAGATAAGTGATGTAATATATTGGTAAGATATCAGTTAAACCTAGATTTGAACAAGTTATGTTTGTATTGGTCAGAGAAACAACGATTTTGGGGTTTTCCACACGGTAGCAGTTCGTGAGAGACATGCTACACACATTATTATATATATATATATATATATATATATATATATATATATATATATATATATATATATATATAAGCATTTCACCCCAAGCAAGGGGTTACAGAAAATTTAGAGCAAGATCAGATAGGAGTGATAGAAGAAAGGAGGAGGGTAGTAGAAAGATCAAGGCAACTGGAGATATCGATTGACATTACACTTAAATAGCTGGAGATTATAGCTCTCAGGGAAACTGGAATAGGGAAGGGAGTTCCACAAGCGAGAGGTGCGAGACATGAAGCTATTGGAGTAGACGGCTATATTTAGGAGTTTCGACAGTGAAGGGGTGAGAGCGGGATGCCAGCCTCGTATGGCGCTTGAACTCATGACGTCTGGGAACCAGCGAATGCAGCTCCTTGGAGCAATTGCCATGAAAGTATTTGTAGAACAGACAGAGGGAGGCGACGGCGCGTCTGTGAGAAAGTGACTGTAGACGAGATGCCAGAGCAGGGCCAACTACATTGCATATCCGCCTCTGGAGCCCCGAGGCAAACAGAGGGGGCACCAGACCATATATGGCAGCAATACTCCATGCAAGGGAGAATTGTTGATTTGTAGATCTGGAGGATCGATTCCGGGGAAAAAAAATTTCCTGGCGCGGCACAGGGAGCCAACTTTTCTTTGCGGTGGACGAAGCAATTGGCTCAATGTATTTATTCCATCTCAGGTCAGCAGTCAACGTGAAACCGATCAGCCAAGAGAGTTGCTCTCGAGAAGTTGATCGTCAGACATTCTAATGGAGGGCAGGGAAGGATCTCTGTGGTGATTAATAGAGAGCAGTTTTGTCTTCGAAGCGTTGAAGTTGACCAGCCAATTCATGCCCCAGTTCACAATCGATTGGAGATCCTTTTCGAGACGCACGGCCAGGTTAGTTTTGTCACTGACACTAGATTTGTTTTTGAGGCAAGAATAAATTGTTGTGTCATCCGCGTAGATGCCAACTTGGGAATTTATGGCGTCAGGAAGGCCATTTATGTAGATAAGGAATAGGGTGGGGCCTAGGATGGAGCCTTGAGGAACACCTGCGTTCGTGGGATAGGAACTGGATGAGAAACCGTTGTGAACGACCTTCAATTCACGGTTTGACAGGAATGATTGTATTAGGTTATATAATCGACCCGTAATGACATATCCCTGGATCTTGCGGAGAAGGCCGGCATGCCAAACCCTATCAAATGCTTTGGAGATGTCTAGTGCCACGGCACGGGCTTCCCCGTTATTTTGAAGAGCTCGGTAGACAGTTTCAGTGATGGCAGTAAGCACATCAGCTGTAGATCGGGCAAAGCGGAAAACATATTACTTGTCTGAGAGCAGATTATGGGATGTGAGGTGGTTGACCACCTCGGTATTGATTAGGGCTTCGAAGACTTTGCCGAAGAGTGGAAGGAGACTGATAGGACGGTAGTTGGAAGGGTCAGATTGGTCGCCGGAGTTCTTGAAGACAGGAACAATCGAAGAGGACTTCCAGCAGTCAGGAAAACAAGATTCCTTGAGGCAATAGTTGTATAGTTTAGAAAGGGCGGGCGCCAATTCAGGCGCGCATTTCTTCAAGACAATGGCTGGTATCCCGTCTCCACCACTAGCCTTGTTGGGGGTCTAAATTGGAGATAATGCCCAATACCAAGGACGGATTTTGTTTAACCCACTCAATAGGGCCTCAGTTCTAAGAGGGAAGTCGGATGTGCGTGTGTGTGTGTGTGCGTGTGTGTGTGTGTATTTAGCCAGAAAATTCTCTTTTAGGCATGTCTGATTATATAAAATACAGACATTAACATAATCCGTTGATACTCACGAATAACCTTCTGTGTATTGCAATTAAATGATGTGAGAAATATGCTATAACTACAAAAATCGCTTTTATTTCCCAAGTACTTTCCATCTTCTTCCTGGATCTTTTTCAGGGCTGCAAGTAGTAATACAAAACTATGTGTCTGTGCATTACTCTATTTTCCCCCTTTTTGCTTTTAAATGCAGCGGTTGACAGTTCTGGTTAGTGTTCACTGGAACGTGAAAAAAATTATCCATTATGGGATTTTGTCTTCTATGTTGTAATGTCATGGTCATGTGCGCATTAAAGCTTAAAAAACTGTGCTTTTTTATAGGCATTTCAGAACATTGTTACAGTATTTGTAGCTGATTCTATTCAGTGTCGGCTTGAATTTTTTTAATGAGGATTGCTTCCAGCAACTGTAGTTTGAATTTATTATTTTCTTGGTGTAGGATATTTGGGTTATCTATGAATATTTTTTACTGCCTGGAATGTGAACAAGAATGTTGATGTAGATGTCTCGCAATGGACAAATGGCAAGATAGTTATACCACATTTCTCATTTCATTTATTTGCAATCCGTCTTTTCGCAAGGATGTATTGCCTTAAATCAAATTGAGTAATTTAGTATATGAATTTAATTGCCAGTGTGCTGCTGGTTATGTGGGGCGTACAACCTTGCATTTGGAAACTAGAATCAATCAGCACGTACCTTCCAAAATACGACTTGGTAAGATAAATAGAATATGCTATCTTCCCCCCCATGAATATGGAATCGGCTATTGCTCAACATTTAGTTGAGAATATAGCCTGCGCCAAGTCGTATAAAAAAGAGTGGTTTAAAATTATTCATACAGCCGATTCCAACAATCATTTGAAGATTTTGGAATCGGTCTGTATAGGATTAAGGAAATTTTCTCTCTGCCGGCAGAAAGAATTTGTAAAGTCTCTTAATCTGTTGGGGATATTTTATTTTAACTGTCCTCGCTAATTTATTTACACGATTATTTCCCTCCCTCGTTACAAGTATATATACTTGTTTGTTATTTTAGTGTGTTTCCCCCTCTTTTTTGCTCTTCAATATCATTAATATTCTTTTCGCTAATCCAATGATTGTCTCCTGATGAGATGTTGGCTGAAAGGGCCCTAGAGACTTTTAAAATTAAAATCAATGCATTCCTTGTTTTTAAAACGATTTATAAATTTTGTACCTCCAAACATTCGTATATATATATATATATATATATATATATATATATATATATATATATATATATATATATATAGGGGTGGCCTGTGTGTGTGTGCAATCATTTCACCCCCATGCAAGACAATAAATCCACTTGTGCCCTGAGTGGGAAGGAATAAGAACAGACAGAAACATTTCTGAAGAGCAAGATCTATAAAAGAAGCATAAAAATAAAGACATTACTTACCGATTAACATTACTGGAAAGCGCAAATGAAGAAACTCTTAGAATAGAACTTACGGTTACATTTAGCAAATTCAACTGTAGATTGATGAGACCTTGTTACCAATCTAGCATTGCGCTTAAATTCTTAAACTCTAGGTAACTTAGCGGAAATTTCATGAGAAAAATTACCATGAATGTATAGAAAGTGCACAGGAAAACTACGTAATGCCAGCGAGAATGTAACTGAAGCCGAGATGTCATATTATGACCAATAAAACTTCTTTGTGATTTATCAAGATTCTCTAAATCTATATCAGTAACATCGGGCTGTATGTGGCAGCAATATTCAAAGCATGGTCATATGGTAGACTTATAAATATTTAAGATATATTATGGAGCGAAAAACTAACATGGTACAGGGAGGCACATTTTTTTAGCAATTGACCTGGCAAGTGAATTAATATAATGTTAACCTGAGCCAACCTCCTGGGGGTTAGCACCAGCCATCTTGATGAAAGGTCGGCAGGACATTTTCAGATGAGTAATAGAGAACAGGTTCGTTTTGCAGGCGTTAAAAGTTTTAAAAATTCCTTGACACAGTTAACAGCAAATTGTTGGTAAATGTTTAGATCAAATGCCAATTTTATTTATTTACATTTTGTACACTCAGGTTTACATCTGCAGGAGGCGATGGGTAAAATATACAAAAAAGTAATATACAGAATTTAAAATTGCATAAATGGTGCATTTATATATATATATATATATATATATATATATATATATATATATATATATATATATATATATGTACATTTTTTTCTGTGTTAATTTTAAATTAAATCTCCCTGTTGAAGCCTGAAGAGAGGGAGGAAACTGGTTGCTTCACCTGTTTTTAATATGTCTGTAATATTAAATTTTATACTTTTTTATTTCGATCATTGAATTTTGTACCTACAAAAATATCTTTTATATTATATATATATATATATATATATATATATATATATATATATATATATATATTCTATCTTTCTTTCTTTCTTCTCTCTCTCTCTCTATATATATATATATATATATATTAGGTATCTCCACTATTTCGGCATAAATTTTCTATATTTAAGTTTAAAATTAATTTTTTACAACGAAAAAAATTTCTTGAAGATTTTATTTTAGCTTTAAAAAAGTTTAATCATTAAATTTATGTTTTCCATTAATTAAACAATTCTGGTGTATTTCAGATAGAAACTATATACATTTGATTGTAAAATTTAAATTCAAATTTTCTTAAAATCGGCCATTTTCTTAATTTTAAGAAATTTGTAAACAAACACAAATTTATCGATTTTGAAAATATTTTAAAAAATTTCTGACATGTTATTTTAGTAAAATTAAAAAAATTAAAGTTAAAGTAATCTGATTTGAAAGAAATCTTTCTTACTTATAGCATAAAAAAATAATATACAACCAACTATTAACGAGCGGTCCTGATCATCTGATCGAACTATTGATGGATTGTTGAATGACGAACCGATGACAGCTACTACTGATGAACATAAATGACATAATTTTTAAGTCTGAGTTTTTTAAAAAATTATTCTATTTGAGTATGACACACACTAATGGAAATACAATACATAAAATAAAATCATTTAGTGAAATAGTAAATGAAAAAAAGAAAAATTACTTTAAAATTTAAAGTTTACACTTTTACAGCTGAACGGAAAATACAACCTGTAAGAATCGAAATGTTTTGAAAAGGCCACGTAAAGGGACAAAACCCTTAGATCACATGACGTTGTTATAATAATGGCAATTCCTGTATATCATACATAGAAATAAGGAATGTGTTAAGTAAAAAATACAACATAAAAAATTATTTTTAAAAAAAGTAGCGCAACTAAATTTATTAAACTTAGCAATTTCTACTTAATTACTACATCACCTCGAGGAACCCTCTAATACAGATGTGGCACCATTTACCAAGGCAAAAAAAAGAAAAGAAAGGAAAGAGAGGAAGAAAAGAAAGGAAAAGAGAGGCGAGACCCAAACGTGGATGATAAGTAGGACACCCACGACTAAGAGACAATGGATAAAGGATATTTTGATAAGTAACAAATGGCGAAGAGTGTCATTACGATGGCAGAAAAATTCTAAGTGGATAAGGGAATCAGATGTGTTCTGGCGACGAGCTTGTGTTATCGGGGATACATAAACAAACCGCTAATGCGGGAAAACATCTGATTGGCAAACCACAGACCGACTAGCCAAAGAAAAATCCAATGTTATTTTGATAATTGACAAAAAACAGGTGAACTACAGGGCTTTGGATAGATATGAAAAATTAATTGTGTCAAAGCCGCACACGAAGTAACGGCTGACCGTTTTTCTTTTGACAAGACATCTTTAGCTGCGATAATAAAACTATGTTATCAGCAATGTGCACCAAAGAGTGACTGGTAACCTAAAAATGTTTCTTTTCGAGGCGACGGTATGGCCGTGTTAAATAGACCACCCATTCTGATAATTAGCGATAATCTGACTGACGATGTCCAGATGAGACCGGGGTAAAATAATTTTATTTTTAGCGAGATATTTTTTTTTTCCTGAAACATTGCCCGCGGAATCGTACACGCCGGCTGGTCATCATTGGCCGAGTGGTGATCACGTGACGCAAGGAGGGTGCTGTCACCGCCCATTTAGAGGATGGGTATGAGAGGTCGCTACGAGGAAGTGGGGAGGACAGCCGACATCCCCCTGAAGCATGGTGAGAAGTTGGGAGCAAGAGAAGACTCCCCCAAAAAATGAAAAGTGGAAAATTCCTAACCAAAAATAAAAGAAGTGGATAGGTATTTAGAATTATCGAGGAACCCCCCGGCGCCGACAATCCCACCCCTGTTTTTGTCGGCGTCCATATAAGCGAAGTCGCAGCGAGCGAAAATCAGTTCCAGCAGAGAGTTCCAGCAGAGAGTTCCAGCAGAGAGTTGTTGCGGAAAGTTTCCCGGAGAGTTGAAGGGTGCTCGCATCAGCTGACCAAGATTCGCGCAATTTCCGGACTCATCTTCAATCCAAGAACAATTATTTTGAAGAGCGACTTAGATCCAGACAACCAAAATAAGTTTTTTTTTCGACTTTCGCCCGAAGACACACAAAAAAAAAAAACAATTTCTTAAAGAGCAAACAACTTGAAGTGTTAAAACTCGCCTAACGGAAAACAACGTGTCACAATCCATAGAACGGGTCGGGAGATAGACGCAGTCCTATGTATCCAACAACTAGACATAAAGTTTGTTATCCTTTTTTTGATACCTTGAACTTTTGAGTTATCATTTTCTTTTCTTTTATGCATATTTGATTGATTGATTTCGTCTGCCTAAGATCAATTCACAAATTGGTAGGCAGACTGGAGATCAATGCAGTTACTTTGGTAACCAGACGTTGGAAGCGAGTTGGGAACGACGAGGCTGATATCAAATCTAACCAGATTCCCATCCGAATCACCAAAAGGTTAGAACGTTACATTTGGGTGACGCGACCGATACCAAGCCAGTTGGTCGTCACAGGACGCGACAACACGGCTGACGCGACAGGCGGACGTCACGTTTGGAGCGGCGACACCCGAACGAAGCAGCGAGGAGCGAGCGAAGGCTGTGTTGAGTGACGTCACACAGAGCTTTACACGATTTTAAACTATTATAAATTATTATAATTAAAATTTCTTAAAAAACGAAAAAATTCTTGTAAAAATTAACTATTCATCAGAAAAAAAAAATTTCTTCAGACAATAATGTCCTTAATATTACTTATTTACAAAAGCGATTAAAAGCTTTTCTAATTAAGTAAACAAATAACATTACTTTCGACCATAGTGTGATTCGAACCCGGAACAGAATGCGAACGTTCTAACCACTCGGCCACGCACACATATACACATATACCCGTGTATACCCACACATACATACGCATCATACGTATGCATCTATATTCGAAACATTTGGCGGGTCTGTACATACATAATAGCTGAAGCATAACTTTTAGGGCACAGATTCATGGTCTCTCGAGACCGACGCATGCCACATGTAATAATAATAATGAGAAGAAGAAGAAGAAGAAGAAGAAGAAGAAGAAGAAGAAGGTGATGATAATGTTGATCCATGCAATATATCCATGATATCCTTAGAATTATTACACATGTACATAAGATTAGCTTTCCATTAAACGTCTATGAAAAAGGAAATTATTTAATATTTTGTTGTGATCGTCTTTATACCAACATTAATATAAAGTTGGAGAGCCCTTCTATGTAGAGTTTCACTCTTAACATTAATGAAATATGATATAAGTGGAAGCTGAGATGGTACGAATTGAAAATTATGAGGAAAATGTGGAAAGATAACAGTTTGCTTTTTGAAGTTGTTGGGGGTCAAGATTGTGGCCTTTAGGGAAATACAGCCACAGGAGTCTGTTTCAGGAAGAAGTAGTTTTTGAGGCTGTAGGGATTAGGATTGTAGTACGGGAATCTGTTGCAGACAGAAGTTGTTGTTCAGGAAAATATGTCTTGGAAGAACTTTAATTATATTTGAAATACAAGGGAAATATCGGTTATGCGATTCCGTGGCCGTAACATCGAAAGAATTTTACTCCACGCTATCAATGATTATAAGTTTTCTTTTTTTCTTTTGTGAAAATTAACCGCTCCTCGAGTCCTTGTTTCCTTAACACTAACCATTAAATCTATTTAAAGGAGATTCAATAATGTCAGTTATTATGAGTACAACAATCAAGTCAATTCATGTTCAAAGTGACTACATTTACAGAAAGAACTCTTGGTAATATCAAATGCTTCCCATTGTTATTCCAGTTTTTTTGGGTTTTTTTCATTAAGTTGTGGGGTATTTTTCAATAATATTTTGTGGTTGATCGGAGTAGATTTAGTTCTGTTCAAACCAACATTATTTCTTTGTTCACAAAATATAAATCCTGTTTTTCTTGATTGATCGAATGATCTTTTTGAATCAAAGTTTTTAAAGTTTCAAAATGGTTTTAGTTTGACTTGGTACTGTTTCTTTTCCTTCATGAAAACTGTATCATCCACATTTAGTCGCATTATACCAGCAATTCCGTCAAATCTATTTACTATTTTTTTTCGAGTGGGGGGGGGAATTAGTTTTCCATTGTCCAAAGATCGTTATTATTATTATTAAAATACACCTTTAAGTGCTGAATCTAGATGCGTCGTCAGTGTTGTTGCTCCCATGTCACTAGAAGTTTTGGGTCTAGATAAACAACAGACTTCTTCGATGAGCGACCCGACCGAATATGATCAGTATTCGGCCCGCACCTAGAACAAAAATTTGCCACTAGCTTTAGGACGTGAATTATATAAGTTGCCCCAGCAAACAACAACCAATCAAGACTTCACTTGGGCTATTCGAAGTTATAAATTAGGTATGCATGGTTGTAGTGATCTTCCTACTTACGTTCTTAATTTCCTTCCTTTATATCTTTAACTTTTCTCCCTATATTTTCAGTCACTTCTTTATTTTTTCTGCCTCCTTTTTTTTATTCATCTTCTCTTTTCATCTTCTTCTCTCTTCTTCTTTTCTTTGTAATCATATTTTCATCAGTTTCTTTTGTTTTTCATTCGAATATTTCGCATTCATTTCGCTCTTTCAATCAATGCTTCTCTTTAATCATCATCTCTATTTTTCTTCTGTCCGTCCTGGGTATGACGATAAACTACATCCAACACTAAGGCCTCTGATCAGGAGGCTTTGAGAAGCGTGGAAGTACCTCTGAATCCCTGGTGTTCCTAGGTCCACCCTGATCCGGAGTGGCAGCACCTGTTAAGGCCCCAGCTATGGGCAAATAGTTAACACCCAAACTCGGATCAAAACACTATGAAAGTTTAAAAATAGGTTTTAATACCAGCAATATTTTTTTGTAAAAAATACCAGCAATGAATTTTTGAACAAAACATTATTACCAGTAATGTATTTTTGGAAAAATATTACCAGAAATACATTTTTTAAAAATATTAAAAGGAATATATTTTTGAAAAAAATATTGCCAGCAATAAAAATCTTGTCGGCATTTAATAACCCATTGAGGTGTTGATATGCCGTAAAACAAACCAAACCAATCTTTCTCTGTATTCTCTTTTTAAACTTCTCTTATTTTTGAAAGGCTTCCTCCCCTCTGCCTTCTAATACTGCTACTCTTCTACCCCTCTTACATTTTCTCCTTTCACTGCCTCTCATAATATAAGCTTTCGAACCTCTCTCACTTTTTATAAATTTCCTCCCCACTTCCTCTTACTCATTTACTCCTACCCCTCCTAATTTCCCCCCTCTTATCATATCCTCTTTCGAACCTCTTTCTTTACAAGATTCTTCCACAGCGCCACCACTACCTACTCTAACGTCTCTTAATTTTCTATTTTTCCTGCCTGTCTCAATATTGAATTTTACAACTCTTTCTCTTTTGGGGAAGGCTCTATGCCACCCCCGGTTCCTCCTCCTGCTCCTAAGCCTCTTCATTTTCCGCTTCTCAGCATATTCTCTTTCTATTTTCTCTCTTTTTTAAAATGCCTTCCCCGTCTCCTGCTTTTCTTCCACCTCTTCTATCTCTATTACTTTATCTCTTTTTCCTCCTTTCCCTCATGTTCTTTTTTAAAGATGCCTCCTCATTCCTCCTGTTGTTTCTCTTCATCTACCCCTCTTATTTTCCATATCTTCTCCCTCTCATTATATTAACTATATCTTTGTGTATCCTGTTCCTTCTCCTCTCATCTCTCTCTTACTTTTACGCTTTCCCACCTCTCATCATAATTTCTTTCTAAACTCTCCTGTTAACGTCCCAGCTATGGGCAAATGGTGAATCCCCAAACAAAAGCCAACAGAATTGTTTTATAATACAATAAGGGACAATACAGTTTTATAGCAAAATCAGTCTCAATTCAATACTAAAAAAAATTATAAAAATGCATTTTTATAGTAAAACTAGCAGCATGGGCATGTTGCCCGTGCCAAAAAATCGTATGACTCATACAGCAATCGCTATCAATTGACTTAAAATATTTTTACCCTTCCTTGCCTTTTAAAGGATTGCCCTTTGCCGTGCTGATGTTGCTACATGCCTTACTTATTGCCTATCTCACACTGCGAATTTTTTCTAAGCTCTATAGTAAACATTAAATCTGTTACGAAAAAAAGAACTAAACAAAATGAACACAAAACGATCAGCTTTAAAAAGGACTCGTAACTGGAAAAACCGAATGAAAAAGAATGTTAACAACAAATACTTTTTTCACACCCAACCCAGTTTTGCGGATTCAGAATCAAAGTTGAGTTTAAGCAAGCGAATTAGCCAATTGGAGTAAAGTGCCATGCAAATTTAAATTTTTCCCTCTTGTTACGAATGCAGCAACATTTTTTTTTTCATGCGAACATGCTAGTTAACATTCGTGTCAGTCAGCTGTTGGCTCTCACGCTGGCCAATAGAATCTCCCTGCCTATTGGTGGTAGCCAGCTAAAGGCTCCCATTCTGGCCAGTAGAAAATGGCCGCAAACTACATGAAAACTGCCGTAGAAGCATGAAAAAATCGATTATTTCCACTATCGATGGGAGTTGGGAAATGCAAAGTCGGCCATGGCCTTTTCGCTAACTTGGAACATGTGCATGTAAAATTTGGTGCAAATCCGTCGAAAATTGCGGCTGTACATTCGTTACACACACACACACACGCACGCACGCACACACACATCCTGCCTTTTATAGATAGAGATTACCAACAATACATTTTATGATCTATAAAATATATCAAAAACCATACATTTACTCAGAAAGTATAAAATGATATACAAAATATCTGGTTGAAAGCATAAAATTGCGTACAAAATATTTAGATCTCGACATTAAATAACCCAAAGAGGTGTTGATATGCCGCTAAACAAAAACAACCAATGCATAAAATATTTCATATATTCTTGCTACCTAGTATATGTCCTGGGTGCGACGATACGCTACCTGTGGTAGCAAGGCTTCTGCTCGGGAGATTGGATGTTTTTATGTGCATGCAAATCACCTCTTAATTGCCGTTGTTTCCATGTCTAGGTGGTAGTACCTGTTACGTTCCAAGCTATGGACAAATAGTGAATCCATCGGATGAAGGCCACTCATCGACACCAATATGAGTCATTGGGAGAGAGAGAGCGACCCCTTAGTCCTTGTTCGGACATCTAACTAGCAGAAGGAAACTATGACGTAACACTTACAGCATACTAGCAACTGATGATGTTGATGTCTTCGTATCATTGCTTGGGTTAGTCAGAGAATGGGATTGACCTTCTTTACCGACTTTCTTAAGTTTAAAAAATAAGGAGAGAGGACAATAAAAGTTGATTGGGAAGCAATAAGCCAGAAGAGAATTCCACAAATTAGAATTGCGATAGATGAAACCGTTAGCATAGAAACTATAGTTACATTTATTTATTTCAAATGATGAGAGCTTTTATAGTTTTATAAAATACATTTTTAAGTATAATGAAAACTGAAGCACTAAAATAAACTATAAAAATACATTTTTATACTAAAATTACCAACAGTACATTCTGTGATCCGCAAAACATGTCACTAATAAACATACCCTTACTCTGAGAGTATAATATTATTAGCAAAATATTTGTAGTTTAAAGCAAAAAAATTAAGTACAAAATATTTAGATTTCGGCATTAAATCAACGATAGATCTTTATATGGTGCCAAACAAAATTAAAATCATCTTTTTACACTTTCGTCCACATCTGTTTCCTTTTTCTTTCTTTTCTTTCTTTCTTTTCTTTCTTTTCTTTCTAACTTTTCTTTGTATCCAATCTTTCCTTGAACCTTTTTCTTTATTTCTTCTTTTTTACACCAAACATCTTCCGTACTTCTCACTAAATAATCTCTTTATGTTTTCTGTTTCTTTATATTTCTCGTGTGTTTTTTTTTCCTTTTCATTGAAATCAGTTTTCTGCGTCATTGTATACTCCTTGATTGTTGTTTAGTTTAACTCGCTGAATAATACGTTCTACGGGCAGAGAAAAGATGTAATAGATGTATCCTTACCTCAAAAATATTTGTATAAAAAAAAAAAAAACATTTCCATCAGTTCATGTACATCTATGTTCTATTGGACATTATACGAAGTCCACTTGATTGTTTTGTTTTGTTTTGTTTTACTGCATATCAACCTCACTAGGTTATTTAATGCCGACAATTTTTATTGGTGGAAATATTTTTTCCCAAAAATGTATTGCTCGTAATATTTTTTTTTAAATATATTGCTCGTAATATTTTTTTTTTAAAAAATGTATTGCTCATAATATTTTAAAAAATGTATTGCTCGTAATATTTTTAAAAAATATATTGCTCGTAATAATTTTTTTAAAAAATGTATTGCTCTTAATATTTCAACAAATGTATTGCTTGTAATATTTTTAAAAAATGTATTGCTTGTAATATATTTTTTTTAATGTATTGCTCGTTATGTTTTTTTTTAAATGTAATGCTCGTAATATATTTCAAAAAATGTGTTTCTCGTAGAAATTTTTAAAAAAAATGTTTTTCTTGTAATATTTTTTTTAAAAAAATGTACTGCTTGTCATATTTTGTTCAAAAAATCTAAATACTCGGAATAGTTAAATGTATCGCACGTAATATATTTTTTAAATGTATCGCTCGTAATATATTTTTAAAAATATGTATTGTTCGTTATATTTTTTTTTAAATATATTGCTCGTAATATTTAAAAATATATATTGCTCGTAATATTTAAAAAAAAAATGAATTATAATATATTTTTAAATGTATTGTTCACAATATTTTTTTTAAATGTATTACTCGTTATATTTTTTTTTTAAATATATTGCTCGTAATATATTTTTTTTTAAAAAAATGAGTTGCTCGTAATATTTTTTTTAAATATATTGCTCGTAATATTTTTTAAAACGTATTGTTCGTAATATTTTTTTTAAAAATGTATTTCTCATAATATTTTTTTAAAAAAATGTATTCCTCTTAATATTTTTTTTAAAAAAATGTATTGCACGTAATATTTTTAAATGTATTGCTGATAATAATTTTTTTCCTCAGAATTTTATTGCTGGTAATAATTTTTTACAAAGCAATTCTGGTATTAAAAAGCATTTCTACACCTTCACAGTTTTTTTTTACCCTAGTTTGGGGGTCAACTATTTGCCCATAGCTGGGACCCTAACAGGTGCCACCACCCCGGCTCAGTGAGGACTTGGGAACACCAGCAAACAACAGGCGGCTCCATCTAACTGAAAACTTCCTGATCAGAAGCTTCACTGTTGGAGGTAGTTTATCGTCTACCCAGGACGAATTATAGCTCATCATCATACCAAGGACGGAAGTCCACTTGAATTTCTTCTTCTTAACATAAATGCACACAGCTGAACGTGAATTTCACACACACACACACACACACACACACACACACACACACACACATATATATATATATATATATATATATATATATATATATATATATATATACACCAACGGTAACCTTCGTTAATTATCCAGGTATTTCATTTACTTAGAGCTTTTGAGTAAAATACAATTAAAATTTAGTAAAAAATTGTTATATTTATTACGTCATTATGTTTGCACCAACCTAATATATAATTCTGTAATATTTCACTAATACTATTAATTCAACATTAGTTCTTCATTAAAATTAATTTGAAATAAATAAGGTTTGTAACAATAATAATAAAAGCTACTACTACTACTACTACTACTAATAATAATAATAATAATTATTATTATTATTATTATTATTTTCTTTGATTTCTGGCGTTTACACATTTCTTTCCGGGTACCCGCCAGGGGCCTAATGTTAGAAATAGCATCATGACACTTTCCACAGACAAAAAAATACATAGATAAAGCCCTTCGTAAAATGTGGGCTGTAACTGTCAGAACAATTTTTTGTATCTCCTTGAGGCATGGACTTCCAGGAATCCCTTCAATTAGTCTACTGCAATCTTTTCCAACCAGTCCTAGAGCTCCAAACACAACAGGGATTGTTGATGTTCCCATATGCCACATTTTCGAGATTTCTATTTCAAGGTCCTTGTATTTTGACAACTTTTTGAATATCTTCAAAGATACATTGCAGTCAGCAGGGACTGCCATATCAATAAGGAGGCACCGTTTTTGTTTGTGGTCTTTAATAACAATTTATTATTATTATTATTATTATTATTATTATTATTATTATTATTATTATTATTCCCGAGCCAAACAAGCAAGTGTAGACAAAACCCATACCCAGCAGTGTCTACGTAGTGCAGGGTTAAAAGTTGAAAAGGAAGGTTTGCTAACTAGAAATTACTAAGTGCCCATACTGAAAAATTGTGTCAGTCCAAAATTCAGATTCCGTGTTAAATATCCAGAAACAACTGACCATCAGGTTGCGCCGTATTGACACCCACTCAATATAAAACTAGGCATGGTAGAGTGGCCCAATATCTGCACTGGAAAATCTGCAACTTTTACGGAAAGGAAACTGCAAGACATTGGTATGAACACCACCCAGGCCCAGTTACTGAGATAGGACCTATAACAATTTCATGGGACTTTACAATACACACAAACAAAACAATCAAAGCTAATCGCCCTGATATCGGGATAACAAACCGCAAAGACAAAATTATGTAAAATGTGTGATTTTTTTTTTTTTGAAAACTGCCCAGTGGAAAATGTCATGATGCCATGTCTGACCTTAGGTCTCTGGTCGGGACCCGGAAAGAAATGAGTATACACCAGA